CTCTGAAGCTGCTCTGGTAAAACTTCTTGTGGCTTATCCTCCTTATGGTGGGGGTCACAGTCTGCAGGGCAACTCTCAAGTCAAAATGCATCATTCAGTAACTGATTATTACAAATCATGTGTTAAGGAGTATATAAAAAAACTGGATGTGTAAAAAAAGAGACGGTTCTCAGTATTTCTATGAAGACCTTCCAAACTAACCAGAACAGCTGCAGCTTATATCTGCAGTTGAGCACAGATTAGCTTCCAACAGGCCATGTCTAGGTTGTTTTCTGCCACTGAGAAGAGTGTGTGTCGATGTTTCGCTCTAGTTGGATATAACCGCATCTGCCTTCATAAAGCTTTAACAGATGTTGCTTCAGAGCTACTTATTGTTGTCGGTGGTTTACAGTCAGCGTAATTTAGAGTATGTTCCCGTGTTTAGTTTGCTTTGTCTCTCCGCTATATTTTGGTTACTTTTCAGGGATTGAATTAAAGTTTGTTTCTACATATGTGAAAGCACACAGTTATCTTCTTGTTGGATGGGCCAAAAAGGTACATAGGTATGTGTTTAAAAAAGGGAAATTCACATTAATCTTCAATAGAATCAGCTACAAGGACAAGATAAAACAATTTAATGATATAGCAAATCATAAAAAGCCCTGCTTAAAGGTTGGTTTGTGGTGTTTCCTATGCAATGTAAAATTTTGCATAAAACAAAGTGAAGGAAATTTAATATTAGTGGTAGTACATTATTTAAAAAATAAAAAGAGAAAAAAACTAGTTGGTGAGGGGTGTTTGCCTGTGTGGGGGAGTCTGCTGAACCTGACCAGCGTTGGTTGGGTTTTCCTGACATGCAGTCATTTGCTTTCCCTTAAATAAACTAACCCTCTATACCTGGTCAGAAGTTCATCCTACTGCAAACCCTCTTTTTCTCCTCAATGTTCTTGATGTCTTTTTAATGCCTTCTTGGCCTAAAAGGAGGAATTAAATGAAAAGATAAACTTAACAAAGCAAAGAAAATGTAAATACTGTCTGAATACGGATTGTTGCCTTGTCTAAATTCTATAGAAAAGGTTGCCTGATATTCTTAACCATCTTCAAAGAACCCCCAATTATACTGTTTTAGCTTAAAGTTGCTTATTTAGCACAACTGGTTAAATATTGGCCAAATAAGAACTTGGATGCAGTGGCAGTTCTAGACCAACAAGGCAATAGTTCCATATTGATATTTTAACTCGGACACAAAGAGCCACTTGCAAATCTGAAGTCCCCAGATATAATAGATAAAAAGTTAAGTTTATTGGTCACAATTTCATTTTTGTGGTCGGTTAATATTTAGATGTAAAACTGAACGTAACCCCCCAGATGTCGGTGCTCTAAACTTTTCATTTATATCCTGAATCACCAGTACCGGTACAGTTAGTGATTTTTTAACTGCCCCACAATTGTTTTTTCAATAAAATTAGATTGAAACATTTCAGGTGTTTTGATATTAGCGTTATAAAATATCACTGTAAAAACTTGGAGGCGACTTGGCAATGTTAATTGGTGGAACCCTAAAACTGATCTCATCTCAATGACACTGAAGCTAAAAAAAGCAACACCTTGATTTTAAAATCTTAGTAAAAATAAAAGAAAAAAAATAGATCCAAGTGGCCAATCAGCTATGGTTTCTTTCACAGCGCATATATTTATTAATATGATTTCAGTATAGAGGCCAGGACCCGTTCTATAGACGCCCTAATAACAGAATTGATACTTTCAGAACCAACGTGTATTTAAGCTTTTCAAAGAAACATTAACACTGCTGAGCAACATCCATCCATCCATCCATTATCTTACACGCTTGTCCCAATTGGGGTCTGCTGAGCAACATGTTCAACAAAAATCAAGCTACAAACTGGAGATAGTCAACAAGCATTTATTAAACTGCATACAAACCAACTGTTTTATTCAGGTTGAATCAGAACGCGTTTTCCTCCATGAACAGGACAAAGACAATCTTCTAAACTCTTAGATTTAGCGTCTACTGGTGGTAGACGTGTTTTTGTCACCAGTGACGCCGCAGTAAAATCCTTACAGTGGAAATGTTAATATATACAGTAAAAAATGTGGAAATATGTTCATATCAAAAACACTTATACAAATAATTGTCTTCTCCATTGTGATGAGGTGAAAAGAGAGGGTTGGGGAGCGGCTTCTTTGGTGGCGTGTTTTGATCTGCCGCATTCATATAGCAGTGTGAAAGAGGTGGACAAGATTTCCATCGGTAGAAAAAAACTTTTGTCAGGGGGTCCTCACAGTCTACTAATTCTTCTTCTTCTTTGCTGGTTTGACAGCTGGCAGCTCTTCTTCCTCATCTTCCACCTCATCATCTTCTTCTTCTTCCTCCTCCTCAGACATTTCAAAATACTGTGAGGCTGAGAGAGGAGCAAAGTTAATAACATGCTAACCTGTGTCTTATATGAAGTTTTGTGCGAGATATGCCCAAAATTAAGCATAATTTTAAAGTAGACGTTTTTTTTATCTTTTACAAATAAAATGAAAATTCAGTTTATTATATAGAGCCAATTCACAACACATGTCATCTCAAGGCACTTTATAGTTCACCAGATCATACAGTCAGATTGATTCAAAGTTTTCTATCTAAGGAAAACCAGTTGATTGCATCGACTCGTTGACTCCAATGCAATCCCTCACACTAAACATGCTTGTAGCGACAGTGGAGAGGAAAAACTCCCTTTTAACAGGAAGAAACCTCCAGCAGAACCATCCTCAGTGTGAGCGGCCATCTGCAGAGGCCGACTGGGGTTGAAGGAGACAGAAGCAGAGATAAAAAGCAGCTGTAAGCGTGAAAAGCATGAACATACCAATAAGGTGGAGGCCACTAACAGAAACTGGTCCCGTTCCAGCTTTAAGGCGTAGAGTAACTGGGGCTTTCAGCTCAAACTCTCCCAGGTTCACCTAAAGAAATAATCAAAAAGTTTTAAACTTTAGGTCAACTTTGTCTCCATGTCTTTAGGAAGCCATTCACTGTGAGGTTTACACACCATAGGCAGACACTTGAGGTGGAGGTTGGCTATGGGGACTGAGACTGTTTTTCCCAGGTGGTTCATGGCGGTTACCTCCACCACGTTGCTCTCCTCCTTGGCTCCCTCACCAAGGCAAACCTTAGAAATAAGAGTAATTAAGGTCAGCGCTGATCCACATAAAATAAGTTGCCGGTTAGTAAAGTTGAAAAATCGAAACCGCACAGTTGGACAAACATGTGGGTAAAATGCCAAAAAAAAAAAAAAACCTGAATGTACAGTTCTAAGCTCTAGGAAGTGCTCCATGTCCTCGTCCTCCTCATCCTCATCTCCTTGAAAAGTGTAGAAAGGTACTTTAGAGGACAGCTCGCAGCCTGCGAAAAGAATAAAACCATTATATTAATGAGGGGAAACACAAGAATGAAAATTACTATCATAGGTCCCAGAGACCCACGTGCGCGTTTTCAGAGCAGCTTTAGAATCTGATTGAGCTATTCTTACTGAACAAGAAGCTTTCCAACTTTGACTCTCCGGTACGGGAGCCCTCCGAAGATTCACCCTCAACGAAAGACATTTTGTAGAAACGTTAAAAGTTGTCTAGACTCTGAGGTTTTTGGAACGAACTAGCGCTCAGCAGGATGGAGAGCGGCGCGGAGTAGTGACGAAAGACCGACGTCATATTTAGGCGACCTTTATTTTGGTGCTCTTGGCGAATCACCGTCGAGGGAAAAAAAAAAATTATATGTATCCTGCGACTTAAATCTTAGTAAAATGTGGTTCTTTATTTTGTTTGTATAATGTTTTCTTGTATAAAACAATCGCAACTGAACATATCCTTTTGTCACAATATAAAGAAAAAAAAAGATTTTATTTTAAAATCGTTTTCTGCGAATGATTGCTGGGTTAGAAACAGCTGTTAATGGCCAAACGCTATTTTAAAAACTACTAAGAAAAATCTCGAGGATATATTAACAATTACAGGCAACTATCGGGTAATGGGTACTTTTTAATTAATTGGAATGAAGTAGTCTTATTTTTGTACAAGTTATTAAATAATTTAAGGAAACTGGTGCCAAAAATATATTTTTTATTACAATTCAGAAAAAAATTAGCCCCCAAAAATGAATGACACAAATTAATAAAAATACAACCCTTAACTTTCATCTGTTCAAACAAAAGTAGTCTAAACTTGAGATAAACAGCACCATAAAAATTATGTTTTATATATATATATATAATTGTCATAATGAAGAGATAACCCAATAAAGTTCTTAAAGTAATTAATTTAAAAGAATTGGTTGAAAGGCTTTAATCACAATTTATAATAAATCAAAAAAGTATACTATTCTTAATAAAAAAAAAAAACTTTCAATCACCAGTCTAAGCTTTGAGAAGAAAACAGTGATATCTTTGAAAGTTAAAATCATATTAACAAAAATTAAATATCTGAAGTCGCTAATACTCTTAAACATTAACAAATTGGTATTTAAGTATAGACTAACTGAACCACACATAAATATGACAAATATTACTAAAAATATCTAGGAACATAAAACCAAGTATCTGTGATTACAGCTAGGATATCTAGAGGAGAGGCAAATAAAAAAAAAAATTAAATATAGTGAACAAGACAGAGTCGTTATTTTAGACGATTTATTACTTTAATGTTACTTATCTTACATAGAAATATTACAGAAATAAACTGCCACATTAATGACCCCCGCCCCCCCCAATCCCCGAAGATAAACTGTACAGTCTAGGGGATTTCTCCGAGTAATTAAGTCAAATGTAGTCGACAAAAAGCAACAAAAAAAAATTACAAGCATCAAACAGTAAAACCTCCTGTTGGAAGAGGTAAGTCACTAAAACACCAACTTCATTTGCTGAAGAGCAGGTCCATTGGAGTTTCCTTCCTTGTTAGCAAGTGGGACGGATCTGTCCAACAAGGGATTAACATTGTTTTCCTTCAGCTAAAAACAGAATCTTAAGTCATTTTCAAAAATAACATACAAAACAATTTAATACTTCATGAATGACAATATATACAAACAATCTGAGCACAACACTTTTATGCTTGTTTTTCAAAGTGGCATGCTTCATCCTATATGAAACAGAGGAGACTTTTACCAATGTCAGCCACAGCAAATCCAACACACCTCATGCACATCATGAATGTACAGTTTGGAAACATCAGTACAGTTTGGAAACAGGAAGCTACTGGAGAGCAGCTGCTGTAGCAAAAGTGCTTAAACTAAAAAGAAAACTTTTGTTTTTCCAGGAACAAATGGAAATGAGTCCGAAAAGCAAACATTTAACTTGGAAAAAAAAAAAAAAAACAATGATCTAGCTCAAGAGCTTTAAAGCTGTAACTGAACATAGAACCATGATCATGATTCAAAGAAGAGGCTCACCTGATACTACATTCATTAGAATGAAAGGATTTAAAACTGATGATTTAATTTAAGTACTGATCGAAGAACTATAAATACAGAAAAAAAGGTTTGACTACCAGTGTTCCTGATGAAAAAACATTGTTTCTGGTCCCAATGATTAATTTGAGCTTTCTTTAATAAAGAGGGCATAAAGTCAACATTTCAATTTAACCAGAGAAAATAAAACGAGGACTGATGCATATCATTTTGTAAATGTGAAAACCAACGGAACATAAAACCAAAACAGACCCAGCAGATGCTGTAAAATTAACAATCAGTTGTAAAGATCAAAAAGGCAACAGCTGGATGGGAATGAAGCACAGAAATGAATAAAGATTAAAAGAAAGAAGCAAACTGTTAACATGTAGATGCTTTTCTATTGCTAAGCAAATGTTTGCAGCTACTTTAACGGAAATCAAGAGGAACCTTCGGCTAACTTTTATCAACACTTTCTTTGACATTCAGGCCTTTCCTCCCCCAGTGTGCTGCGAAGCACTCCAACCTTCTATTAGCACCTCTTTCCTTTTTATTAGATGTCCAGAAACTAAAATGAAAAGAGGAAAGCCAAATTTAGGAGCCACCTTCTTTTCATTGTTGCTACCGTTTCAGATTCCTCCTCCCTTTTTCAGTAGGATGAATGAATGGATGTAGTAACAAGTCATGGAGTCCTAAAAATCAATGCTGGGGGGCCACGCTTGATGTTTAACTTTTATCTGTTAAATCCAACTGAGCCACACCCTATAATGATGGCATGATTTTCCTGTGCTCATTTAGAAAAATCCCCCCCTCCCTCCAAAAAACAGAACGGCCTGGGCTGAGCCCAATTTTAATGGAGGTAAAAAAAAAACAAAAAGAAGAAAACAAAGAAGGATCTCCACACGATGAGGTACCAAAAAATGCTTAAGGTGTGTCGACTGGCTCTCGCTCTGCCCGTCGCCGTGACAGCGCGCTTCTTCAAAGGCTGCGTCCCATAATGATGATGTCTTTGGGGAAGCCGTCCATTTTGGCCACTTCAAAACATCCCAGCTTACTGTAGAATTCCATCATTCGTTTATCAGTCTGACGAACTTTACAAAAAGCACCATGAGAACCTGAAAGTGAAAAAAAAAAAGCGATAAACTGTAATCATGAGACAACATACATTCCTAAATATTTATAGAAATGTATACTTTGAGAACATTGAGAATAACTGAATAATTTATGTGACAGCTGCAGAGTTCTACTCACCATTAGCCTTAAGAGAAGATAACAGACATCCCATCATGCTTTTGGCCACACTGGGGTCAGTGACTTTGGCGTGAATGTCTACCTTAATGAGGGATGGAAAGTTGGACAGGAAAGATTCTGGTAGACCCTCCTCCTCCTCATGAAAACTCAGGATCATCTTCTGCAGAAATGAACAGCAGATCATGGATTGAAGTCACCAACAGGAGAAAGAAGCCTTCATGTTTATACAGACGCTGTATGTCTGTAGATGTTCATACCTCAGCCTCGGAGAGATCCTTCTCACAGTCAGGTTTGTGGTATTTCTCTTGCATGAAGGGAATCCAGCTCAACTTGCATTTCTTGATGAAGGGCTTCACGTCTACAGTGCCAAGAGCATAACCGCAGATCCCCTCATCATCCTCCAGCACGAAACCGTAATCTGAACTCACCGTCAGGAGCCCTCCGACTAACCTGTAATCAGGGATCAGGTCAGCATTAAATATTCAGTTTTAATCAAATCCAGTTGACTATAAATTCACGCAGGCTGTACCTGTCCCCTATCAGGTCGGGTTCCTCCTCGGCAAACGGCTCATCTTCCATTCCTTCACAGTACATTTCCTTACAGATTTTATAAACTGCAGCCTGCAACCAAAGGAGATGTTCACAAAATTAAAAGTAAGCAGCGAGACAACCTGAGCTTCAGTGGAGTGATAGCAACATATTTAACAATGGGATAAAATCAAACTGTCAGATGATGAATATACATCAGCATTCACAGCTCACATCCAAATACATAGAAACATTGCTCACTTTTGGGACTCAACTTTCACCATAAATGTCTACATTGGATGGATAGATAGGAGGTGTAAAGGAAGGAAGGTAGTTAAGACTATAAAAAGGGAGGGAAGGACGCAAAGATAGGAGGAAGCAGGAAAACACGGACATAAAGATAGAAGGAGGGGGGGGGTGAGTAGGGAAGAGTAGGAAGGACAAGAGGATAATATAATTTTGACAATGGCATAAAGAATAGGGGATGAAATCTGAACACTTTTTACAATTCTCGTTTGTAAAGAACTAAAACCAGGCAGAGTAGAAACTCATAAATATTCAGATTTCAGCAGGATTTATAGAAATGTGGAGCTTTCTTCACACAAAGTGACATTACCTCATCTTTGGGGTAGTACGGCCGTATGGTATAGATTTTGGAAGTTGGCAAAGAAGGTGGAGGCTGGTAGAAAAGATCGTTTGCCCCATCTATTGGCAACAATCTCTGTGGGTTTTAAAAACAAAGAGGTTCAGTCTTACAGAGAACAGGCAGGCGGAGGCTTTGCCTGACTACATTTGCTAAGATGTTCCACAGTCAACCCAGCATGAACCATAAAAAGACAAATCAAGTGCCTTGAGAGTCAGGATTAATCAATTAACGGGAGTTCAATGTTGGCCTGACAGTGGACAACCAGAGCAAACACCACATCCTTCTAATTTCTGCCTTGGAGCAGAGAACAACAAGTCTTTGCAAACAGAATGCAATGAGGGTTTATTTTTGGTCTGACTAAGGCTTTACTGACAGGAGATGCTCCTTTCCCTTTGGTCAGGCATCGCAATATTACGCATGCGCAGGACCCTCCTGTTGAGAAAAATAATGATGCTAGCGCAGAAATATGGAGAACTCCAGGAAAAAAACCACCAGCGGAGGGGAGATAGAATCGAAACCCAAATGCTCAGCAGCGCACCAACCAGGTGGACGCAGTGTTTTAGGGAGGAGACTGGTTCGTTTAATCTTGGAGTTCTACCTTTGCACAAACGCTTGCGTTCTCGCTTGCGCTGCGATGCTTGCGCGTGCGCTCCCAAAACTCTTTGCCTGGGTTCTTTTTTTTTTCTAGTTTATTTTGCTCTTTTTTTGCGCAGTGCTTCCCTGCAAAGAAACGAGATGTCATGAAAAATAAAACCTAAGCCGTGCTCGCTTGCGCCGCTTGCGCCAGGGAAAAAACAGCATCTCCTTTGGCAGCTGCTGCAAGAATATAGAAGACATCAAAACAATACAAGAAATGCCGCGCCAAAATCCGGCATAGGCTCTTCTTTCAAAGGGGCGATTGAAATTCCACCTATAGAGTATGACAGTACTCTAAAGTTACCCTGGATGTTATGAATTTGGATCATTCCCATCAGCTCACCTTCGACAGACCAAACCTCATCATACCTGAACACATTTACCATAGCCTTCCACAGCACTTTTTCGTTTCCATTTAATTGCCATTATTTCGGTGCATTAGATACCTGGAACTCTCCAGCTAGACCTCCCCTAAAGGCCCAGGACTCTTGTTCTCCTTTAGGGAATTGTGCTGAGGACTGACTACGACACCCTGTTAGGAGCAGAGCCAAGCGGACATTGTTACCACAGGATGGGGCTCTGATACAGATGAAGGGAGCGGGGTATGAAGGGGCAATAGAAATGTAAATGATTTCTAATCATTAAAAACATTAACTGAAGTAAATTGCTTCGACTTAAAAGTACTTAAAAGGACGTGATGGGGTTCAGGCATCTAAATCTCATGTTTGTGGAATGGTGTGCTACTCAAATGCAGGGCTTTCGTTCTGGCTACATCAGCTATTAAACAACAAAATGAGGACAGCTTTAAAACACAACCTGCAGATGAGCTACTTATTTTCTGCAGAAAGATAAGAAAACGGTCCTACTCCTCCGCTGATGGTAAAACACTGAGTGACGGGGAGACTTCCTCCTCTCTACAGATCACAACAGAAAGTTTTAGCTGCCATCGCCCCACTGATCTTAGCACCCCGTGTGAAGTCACATTCTCATTTTATCTGTCTTGTCACATGACGGGGAAGCATGAGTCATAAAAAAAACCAGGAAGATCGAACGAGAGGAAGTCGGCACAGTCCCAGAGTTAAAGGGCCTCTCAGTCAAAACAGAAAAAAAAAAGAATGTATCTAAACTGCCTGAACATAACGGCAACGGCTGTCTGAACCTGGATGACAAGAAGCCCTGTCATGTGACCAGCCAAATGCAGCGCGCATGCGTGCAGGACGCCTAACCCTGCCTTGCACATCAAAACAACCTCCTGAGAAGAGCTGACAGCACAGCATGCAGATGCATCCACATGAAGGAACCTTGAACTCAGCATGAATGGATTACTTCAAAAACAGCATCTGTGTGGATTTACCTCCACAAGAATCATGTTTCTTCTTTTTATCCGTTTATTTGAGCTTCCTTTCTCCAATTAGAAAGGAGAAATTCATTTGATGCTTTTCATTTTTTAAAACCAAATAAAACACAGGTTCCTCTGAGCAGGTGCATCAGGCTAGTCTGAACAGCTTTGGTATTTTTTAGGCCTACTGACAGAAACAAAAAGACAAGTTAGGAAGATGCCGCTAAAGAGAGAAATTTTTGGAGTTAACTGGAATTCAAGTTTAAACATCGCTGCGCAAGATGTGACTTCATCCGGAGGGTTGTTTCCTTTCCTCCAATTCAATCTTTTTATACAAATTTGGTTTGAGAAAAAAAAAATAAAAAATTACTCAGATCAAATTCAAAGATGAACAAAGGAAAGAGACAACGCCTGCATTGTGCATACATCGGCCACTGTCCATCCAATAGCAGTAGAAACTTGTACTGTGGATTCTTCCATCTGTACGTAGTGGAGGGAGAAAACAGTAGAAAATGGTTATTAGTAGGTGTTCTTAGTACAACAAGTAGGGAGTTTGTGACTAAGTGCCGGCTGCAAAGCTTCAATCAGGAGAATTCATATCAACCAATGAGACAATAATAAAAATAAAAAATAAAAAGCTGCGCAATATATATAAATGATTTACTCATAGAATTCTTTCTTCAATGTTTAAAGGTGAAATGAGCCTTTTTCCTGCGCAGGTTTTGCTGCCTGCTGTGTTCAACTGTTGGCTGAGATCTCAGCTTTATGCTGTAGAAGAACAGGGTAGAAACCTGGAAATGAAACTGGGTTACAGGGAGTAACCTGCAGGCCATGCTGCTGCTTCAGGATAATCAATGCAAACCTCCAAAACAATGAGACATCATCCAGCAATGAATTCAACTCAAACTATATCAAGTGTTTAACCTCACAAATGTGAGTAAAACCCCCAAAAACCCTCCTTTTTGACAAGTAGTATGGGTCAGTAATGCTCCAGCTAACGGTGCATCAACTTGTCAACAATGTTCGTATAATTAAGTACTGCTCTACTAATTCTAGCATTCTATATTTTCTGTAGTTTAATGCACCAAAGAGCAGCAAATGTGTCAAAAACAACGTTAACCATAAAGATAAAGAGTAATTTTAGCTTTTATTTATACATGTAAATAATAAAAAGTGATGTTATACATTCTTGGAAATGATCATCCAACTACTTTCATAGAGGTAAATTAACAATACACTGGGGAGTTTCAGCCAAAACACTTTTGACATGTTTGAGTTTTCTTTTTTTTTTGTATTATTATAGTTTCTATGCACCAGAATGGCCTTCATTAATCAGTCAGTCAACTTGCTCTCCACATTCGCGTGCGCGTTAGGGCATGGAGGACGGGGGATAGGAGACTTTCCCCACACCCGTCCCCACAGACAGAAATGGAGGAAACTGATGGGAATAACGTAGGACACACAGCAAGCAGCAGTAACCCCGGAGTGGCATTGTCTGTACTGGACATCATAACTCTGGAACTTATTGTTGGATAAACAGAGAGGATGTTAGCAGTGCAAGCGGCATTCAGTCTGACGCAAATATATAAATAATTACAGAAAACAATTTGCATGTGTTAAAAAGTAGATTTTTTTTTTTTATTCTGCTTCATTTGTTCAAAACTGATCTATACTAGCTTATTTATTATTGGTAGGAAAACTACAGATTCAAGGTCTAATTTGCAGAAAAGAAAGAAAAAACTATATTTAATTATAAATAGATAAAAATATCTTCTAATTATGTTAAATTTGAAAAATAACGGAATAATCTTTAAGTTATTAAATCTCTGCACCTGATCGATCACTAATTTCAGTGTCAGCTAAAGTTTTTTTGGTATTTTTTTGGTATTTTTCACCAAGGCAAAGAGGCCCCAAAGTTCCTCAATACATACCGAGCCAAAGAACAAAAGACTTGACCATAGACATGATGCTCTTGATGTCCCAGATGTAAGGGTAGAGGTCAAACAGGATGGTGCGGTTGGCTGTGTTAGACAGCCGTGTGAACATGTGGATGACGGAGCAGCACATGTCTTGAAACTTCTCCGCCCGAAGCCGCCATTCTTCAACCTGAGTGCAAGAGATGCAGAGAGATCTTAGTAAATGGATCTGATCTGATCAGGGAATCAGACCTGCTTTTCTAGTGATGTTACTTTATCTTTATACAAACTAACTTGGCCGGACTGAAATTTAATCTAAATAAAAATCAGTGTTTAAACCATAAAGATGTCTTGTTTGATTTGCACACAGTAATGATGTAGTTCTGGGTTAAACGCTGTAAATCTTTTAAAGGTTTTATGTGACACCGTTCTCCTGTTTACTCCTGTTCTTTTCCACTGTAGTCTGCCAAGATGCCATTACAGAAGAAAACAAATTACAGATGATGCAATATAAGGGAGCTGTTGTATAAACAAATAAGCATGACTCCACACTGTTACAACAGGCAATTTATAATCATACATACGCCCCCCGATGGACACTGAGGGTAGTGTACATCCACCATTTTGTTTTCAGCTCCATTACCAGCAGGTTTAGCCAATAATGGACTGGGGCTTTCTCACAGATATCCCTCTGTTCAGAAAAAAAGCCCAATTCAGAGAAGCAACGCACCTTTTCATTTTCCTTCCTTTTACAGTTGACGCTAACGACGCTGCTGTTGGCTCTTAACCAGTTGAACTCCTTTAACATCTGCGTGGCCTTGGGTCCATGTTCGTATGGCAGATAAAAGAGTTCAGCAAGCAGACACAGGTCCTCCAGTGTGGGAGCCTCTGGCGTGAATAGAGGCTTCTCATTGGGGCCCGGCACATACAGATCCTGGTGGCACAGAGACCACATCTGGACATAAGAGGTTCATTCTATGAGGATTTTAACCTAAAACACAAATATAAACAATCATAGTACCTGTTTAAGCTGATCGTCTGTCTGCATCGGAGCAATATCACTCGCAGAGTCCTCCTGGATTAACTCTTCAGAGGACTTGGACTCCGTCAGACTCTCCTTGTCTGTATCCATAGGTTTTAGGTCCTCTGCCATTTTGTCAGCCAAGATGGGAGCGACATCTTTTTCTTCCGGATCCACCTCTGCTTCTGGCTCATCCACCTTCTCCACCACCATCTCCATCGGCTCCTCATCTGAATCTTTCTTTTCTGTGTCCACCTGCGTACGCCAAGAAAGGGAACATTTTACTTCCTGAGATAAGATGAGCGCAGTTTAACTAAGACTGATGAATGGGAGGAAATCCATGTGATAATATTCAGTATTTAGAAGAAGAACAGCTGTTAGAACAAACTAAGTATATAGACTCACCTCCTCAGATTTAGCCAAAGGATGCTGGAGGGGATCCAGAAGGAGAGGGGGCATCGCAGGAGACATTATAGGCTGCTGGAACACGGTTGTGACTGACGTGGAGGAGCAAAGGGAAGGGGCCGCCATGGAAGTTACGTCGATGGCCGTGCTTTTGGCACCACTCTGAGGCACCTGTCGGCCTACAAGAGCTCAGGGTTAATTCAAAGTATGTTTGATTTAAAAAAGAATAATAATGAAATGTTTGAAACCATTTTGGGGATCAGTCTTACTGTTATATAGGTGAGGCACGCTAAATTCTGTCAACCATTCAGTCAGAGCCAGCCTTAGTGCAAGCTGTGGACTGTAGAGCATGTCTGTCTCCAGCTCCTCATCACTGCCTTCATTCTCCAGCTTGATCTGGATGGACACAGTGCTGTCCTCACCATCAGCTGATCGACAGAAAGAGAAATAAGATTTAGTTTAAAAAGTAATAGCTATACATGCGGTGTAAGACAAATGTGCAGGTTTGTATCAGTGTGGAGAACAGAGTTCTTATGGTTAGTGTTTCCATTGGACTTCAAATGATTTTCAGATTAGAATGTAACGTGTAAGAAACTGATGTAAAAACTTTTCAAATATGTTACTGAGAAAAATTGCATTGTTTGAAAGATAAATGTGGGTGGAAGACTCATCTTGTTTGGGTTACCCTAAACCTAATTCAGATAATTTAAACCAAAGACTGTCATCTGCAAATATCTTCTTTTTATGGAACGTTTACAAAATACTGTATGATATCCAAACTGAACCCTTATTAAGAACAAACAGTACCAGATTATACACTGCTCCCCAAACTGGCAGCATATTTTAATTTAGATTTTACTTATTTGAAACTGATTTCAGGTTTTACATGTTTAAAAGGTGAACAAGATGAGATGTTGGGCCATTAATTAATTTATTGATTAATCAAATTGTCTGAGTAAAGATAAAAGTTTTGGAAGATCTGTATTTTTTTCTCCATTCAATTCACTGATTGGTCTTCCAGAGCTTAGATTAGCATCAGTTCACCCCCCTTTGTTCTTAGATGCACATAACTGGTAAACCAGCTCTCTTTGTGATAACACTTTAATGTGTTATATTTTAATTGTTTGTTGTCTTACAAGCAGGTTGCGCAGCTTGAATTTCTGGCTGATTAAAATAAAAGCTACTTTCTGGAAGTAAGTCATGCAATTTGTTGTTTTTTGTAACAAAACCTAATGGAGAAAGCAATGATATAGGAAATTTAATGTTTAAGCCATAAATCCCAACCCTACAAGGAAGGAAGTCTTAAGATCTTTAAATGTTAGAAATGTTTAACTTTCAAAGCTGAGTAGGATTTGTCATTAAACGATTTCTTCATCAGCTAATACTTACTCATGACCACATCCTTGCGGACCCCGTTCATGTTAGACTTGTACCAGGTGGCCAAAGTGTGAATTGCGACAAAATTTGATTCAAACTCGCAATTGGGATTGGTGAGGACCCCCTTCAACCTGGGAATCAGTTCCGTTGAGCGACCCTTGTACGGCCCTAAGAAAAGCCGCTTCTGGTCATAATCATTGGCATGAATGTTGTCCCAGATCACAGGGGCTCTTCTCAGGATCTTTGACACCTCCTCAATGGACTCTACTGGGATTTCTTTAGAAACCACTTTGGGACCTACACACAGAATAAAATATTCAAACCAATGATGAAAACGTCCGAACAAATGAGATGGTGCTCATCACACTCATACACTCACCTGTCCACAGCACATCAATGCTAGGCAGCAATTTCTCTCCAACCGTGTGGAGGTAGGGAGATTGCGAGACATTTGGGTAGCAGAACGTCCCACAGTACTCTACAAAAACAAATAACACAGGCGTTCAGAACTATATCAATTTTGCAAAAACAAAAAAACAACTTATGGAATATAACTGTAGTACCTGTGGGGCAAAACAGGAAGGTTTCGGGCTCTCCCAGGTACTGGTAAATCTCATTTGTTAAAGAAACCTGAGCATGAGCAAAGGAGCTGAACACTTCTTTATCAGCAGGGCACATGTTGTGGTCAATATCATCAAAAAGTAAGGCAAAGGACTTGCAGCCAAAATGTGTAACCTGCAGGAAACAAAGAAGATACATTTTTAAAAAGGGGATTGATTGAGTTTCTGGTACCTTAGGGATGTTCAACCCTGGTTTAAGGTAATCATCTTTTGGAAAATTAAACAATTAAATACCTGATCAAGTTTTCTTTTAAGTGCAGTGACCTCTTTCTGATTGGAGAAGGTTATGTCTAACCCAGGGGAGATGGCATATATAAACTCTATTCCATGCTCCTTGGCAGCACTAACTAAAGTCATAAGTTGTTCTGTAACAGATGATAGGGGGGAAAAATGGTATACAGACATTTAAACAGTATGATTTGGCTTTCTTAAATCATATTTTATGGTAAGAATCAATTACAAAATATTCACCAGCTTCTTCCACTGAATACATCTCTCTCCAGAACATTCTGTGTTTGTAGTCATCTTTAGGTGCATATAGATATGTGTTCAGTCCCCATTTCTGTTGCCTGTAATTCAGTCAAAATCAAATAGGGAAATAAGTGCCACGAAATAAAAAGCCCAGCTGCCGTCTGATGGACTCAAGACTAAATATTACCTTCTGAACAGCTCTTTTCTCTGCTCCATAGTCCAGGGGCGCCCATAGAACCCTAAGGAAGAGAAATTATACAAGTTTAACAAGTCAACATGGCAGCTATTTGAAATGACACATACCTGGAAGTAGGTTTATACCAGAAAAAACATCAGTGCTATTTTTGCAATAAATAATCAGGTAAAAAAAAAATTTTTGGCATCTGGTAATCAATAATACTTTTAGATAATCTGATGAAAAGATTCAGTGGAAAGGATGATCCAAGATAGTGTGGTGGGCAAAAAGATGTTAAAATATTCCCAATCAATATGGTCTTAGCATGGGTGGAACATTGAGCTGGCAAATCAAAGAAAAAAACCTGCTATGCAACACCTCTTTTTGCAAAAACCGTCATTTTATTTTAGATTTTATTATTATGCAAAGAACAGCTCTGACTACAAACATTCATCTGACATTATCTTCTTGAAATCTAAATTATAGTTTCTGCGCAGCAATCTAGTATGGTGGGCACATATTTGGTGCAAACAAATGCCCACATTATGCAAAAGCACATGCATGCAAAATAATTCCAATATATGATCCGTAATAAATCAAAAACGTTAAAAATATGCTAATTAAAATGCCATCAATCTGCCTTCAAACAACAAAGAATATGGAACCAGTGCAGCAATTTTACTTTCGATATCTTCGCAGGTATAAAAGACTAAATATATAGATTAAATGTTTAGTGTTAGCCACAGTAGTACCTTCGACAACCCCACTAATGAATTTTCTCTGGCCCGTCGTTTCCACTACGATGCCGGGGTCCGCCACTGGGCCCGGGGCCTCCACGCAAGCCTCTCCAGAGACTGGGCTGGGGCTCGGCTCTACATCTAACGGAGGAGTGTCTAAAATCTTGTCTTTCTGAACCATCGTAGAAATGCTTATACGATTCAATCAAGAAATCAAAACGAAAATTGACACAAAAAACACGGATTTTACGTTTAAAGGACCAGCAGGGTCCCCTCAAAGGAAATGATCCGCGTCGCCCTCCGTCGTTAAAGCTCACAATGTGAGCAAATACGTTCCTCCTTAAAAAAAATATCACAACCTACTTTTGCTAAATATTTCTTAAGAATTGTATTCAGACCGCAAACGACGCTGTAGTCGTGAATAAATTTTATAAATCGAGAAAAGTGCTCGTCCGTCTGGGTTCGACCATCCTCTTCGGTTTATGAAAAATTTAACCTACTTTTCTTCGCTTCTTCCTGTTTACACCGAGTGCGCATGCTCAGGAGACTGGCTCAAACCGGTCAGAACCGGATCTGGATGACAAAACAGCAAAGCTTGTAGGCAAGCAAGAGATGGATAACATCATCACTACTGCAGAAGCCATTGTTACTCAACACTAACTTTGCTTTTTACACATCTGTATTTAACTGTCTATATTTATAAAGCAACAGTCTTATTTATAATAAAATAAATATATAAAATATATAAAATTAATATTGAAATACATGCTAGACTTTATCCATCTTCACTAATTGAAAGTTTTACACATTTGTTTAGCTACCCATTTTTATATGTATATATATATATATTTTATACATGATGATATGAGGATGGAATTACTGCAGGTTGATACTCTTCTGCAAAAAAAGCCTAATCTTTTCACAGATGTAATCCTATTTTTTTATACTTTCGTACGAACAATCTTTATGACTATTCTGAGACAAATGCCACCAAACCTAGGTACTAGAGTTTATTATAAACATCGTTTCCTGTTCATTTGAATGAAGAGTTCTGAAGATTTACTGTTTTGCATTTGGATCTAGTGCAACTAACATTTGAGCAAGACCCTTAACCCCTGATTGCTCCCTGGGCACCCCACAATGGCAGCCCTCTGCTCCCCAACCAGATGGGTTAAATTTCTCATAGGTTAGATCAATAAAGTTGAATTATTATTATAACAAAGCATGACATAAAGTAAGATAGTATTACTTATCCAAATGCTGCCTGAATATTTGAGGTTTTTGAGAGTGCTTTATCATACTGTAAGTAGCCATTAGTTAAAAAGGAATAACATCCTCAACAAGATAGTCAAGGGGTTAGCTATGAAAATGTTCTCCATACCATTAAACCACCAGCAGCAGTCTAAACTGCTGATACTTGACTAGATGATTCCTTTTCCCAAGAGGTTCATATCAAATGCTGATGCTACAATCAGAATTGCACTGCTGAAATGAGATTCCAAGACAACCTAAATTCAAAGTTGGGTTTATCCTGAATTAATTATAGCCTCAGTTTTCTTGGTGAGAGTTGACAGGTGTAAATGAAGAATAAATGCATTTTGTGCTCAGACTATAGTCTATTCCGTAAAAGTACCGTAAAACTTTATGGATTAACTATGACCTGGATGACTGAGAATCTTCATCAGCACTATAGTCTATATACCTTCTGGTTCATTCTTGTGTGTGATTTTGAAATGCTTGGTGCCATGAAGCCATTACTCCAAAAGAAACACTTAAAGGAATAGTACACCCAAAACATGATTAGCCTTCATTTTCTACTCACCCCCATGCTGAACAACACTCTGGAGTACTTTTTTGATATCTCAAATGCATCTGGAGATCTGGGAGGCTTCTTGCTGTCTGCTGACATTCAAATAATGGAGGTCTATGGCGCCCGAGACAGAAAGGTCCATAAAAGTCCACAAAAAACATGTCAATATTCCTCCATACTGCTCGTCCAATGTATTCCAAGTGTCCTGAGTGGGTAGCATCCAGAATTTACTTGAAACGAAGTCATTTAGAATGTTTTTAGAGCATAAACAGTAGTGTATAGGATTTCCTGAAAGCGCGCGCCTGCAAGTTCACGACGCTACGGAAACTGCGGCACACCAAACCAGATGAAAGTGCGCATTCAGCTCGGCAAAGAACTCATGCTCTTCCTCAACACTGAAGTCCTCAGACATTTTTCTTTCGTTGTTTCCTTCTTTGCACAGGTAAACAGCACATTTCTTCTTCTACGCTTGCATTATCGGCAGAGCAGACGCTGAATGCGCACGTTCATTTGGTTTGGTGTGCCAGCTTCCGTAGCGTCGTGAACGCGCAGGCGCGCGCTTTTAGGAAATCCTATACACTACTGTTTATGCTCTAAAAACATTCTAAATGATTTCGTTTCGAGTAAATTATGGACGCTACCCACTCAGGACACTTGGAATACATTGGACGAGCAGTATGGAGGAATATTGACACGTTTTTTGTGGACTTTTATGGACCTTTCTGCCTCGGGCACCATAGACCTCCATTATTTGAATGTCAGCAGACAGCAAGAAGCCTCCCAGATCTCCAGATGCATTTGAGATATCAAAAAAGTACTCCAGGGTGTTGTTCAGCATGGGGGTGAGTAGAAAATGAAGGCTAATCATGTTTTGGGTGTACTATTCCTTTAAATCCCAGAATACAATTTGCAATAATCATCCAAGAGGTGAGCTGAAATTTAATTATTAATATATTTGGAATAATTATGGGGAAATTTTTAAGTCTTAGAACATCATCCAAAATATTAAATACAAGGGAGGCATCATGTTAGAGGGCTTTTTTTGCTACAGGAGTATCTGATGCTCTTCAGAAAATTGGAAGGCATAAAAAAAAAGATTTTAACTAAGAATACATGAGAGCTTTGGTGTAGATGGGGCTTCAAAATAAACAATTACATGAAGCATAAAGCTTTTCTGATTAATAAGTTGCTTAAGGACGGAGTCAGTGCTGTGGATTGGCCATCAAAAAGCCAAAGAAACTATGGATGAATTAAAGACATTCAAACCAAGTCATGCAGTTTAAAGGCAAGAGTAATAAATGTTAAAAAGTGTATGTAAACCTCTAGACTTTAACAAAATGAAAAAAAAAAATGGTTAACAATTGGATCAGTCCTTCTGGTGTTTAGAAAATAGAATGCTGGGGATCCTAGTGGACCCAGGATAGTAGAGGTTTATTCTATATTTCATGTCCAAACAAATGTTTATTTGTGGAGGTTTCTAGAATACACCTGTGTAAATCTAGAAATGCACAGCTCAAGACGGCTTCAGGTTGGCGAATCTCTGCAATTCAGATTTCTTTTATTGGAGGTTATTACGGCACTAGTGGCTTGTTTTTTTTGTATGGTGGGCTGACAGGAAATGGGTACAGAGAGGGGGAGAGACATGCTGCAAAGGAACACAGGTCAGATTTTAACCCAGGGCGGCCACGTGGAGGACTAAGGCCCTGAGTGCTAACCACTGTACTTCCAAAGCATATCCCCATTCCATTTTCACAAAGAGGGCACTTCCAGTTAGTAAATTAAACTTTTTTTCCAATGTGTTTCACCTCTGATGTTGGATGCTGTGCAGATGAAATAACTTTTACAATAGCTTTTCATTTTTCTACATTTGTTATTGCAACCATACCAAGTTGGGATGTTCCAACTAGGACCATCTTATTAACATCTCAAAAAGCCATCTACAGGTCCTGGTAGTGCTGATAAGGAGGGCAGAGAATAGATTGGAAGAGAAGGAAATTCAAGCCATTTTGTCCATAAATCATTATGGTCAATGTGAGATGTTTTAGTTACAAGTTAGAACTTTGAGCCTTCACAGGGATCCAGAATGCAGTATTGTTTTACGGCAATATGGCGGCAGAATCATTCCCCTGACTCAACACCTCTCTGGCCATACAATAACCCAGAGGTTTAAAGGCTAGGAAGCAAAATATTAAGGGTTACGTTTGAGAAATGAATGTGTTCACCTTTGGTTTCAGCAATATGTTGCATTCTTAATTTAATCTGACAGACCTGAGTCAATTGTTAGATTTTATTTGGATAAACTCATTGCAAACTTACAATGCATTGAAACTGTTCTCTACACATGCCCCAGGAAGATGTTGACAGGTTGTAGCACCCTGAAAAAAAAAGTATTTGTTTTACTTCCAGCTTTTTCAGTATAGTTTTTACAAATTGGACTACTAATATACTACTAATGCTTATATAAGCAGAACTTGAGTTGAGGGGCCCTTAGAAAAATCGTAAAAATCAGCCCCCTGCTTAAAGTACAGGGACTGACTGCAGTTCTACTAAAATGTTTTTTTTTCTTTAAACAGGACTACTGTATATACGCCAATATTGTCTTTATAACCTTAAATCAGTATCCAGGTTCTTCTGACAAATGTTGACCACACAACTGCCCCCTAGTGGACATTCCTTAGTTTTACACCATTGTAACCAGATAAATAGCTGCACCTAAAGTCCTTCCCCACCCCATATGTAGATGGTGGAATGGTTCTAGCTTCTACCATGTGCTTGGATGATCTACCACATGTGTGTAGTAAAAACACCACAAGTCTATTCTTACAAGATGGTACTTAAAATAAATCACTGAAATCCAAGTAATTGAAAACCAAAATAATACAACCAAAACCATTTTACTTTTTTATTCAAGCTTGTAGTACATTTATTGCATTACATGCTCTTCTGAAAATAAGGTAGTTCCTCTCCTTTTCGACTTTAAACATTCCCTCATACAATTGAAATTTAATTGTACATTTAAATAAACTTAAAAAAAAAATCTTTTCTCCATCTGTTAATTTTTTTTTAAACTCATTTTTAAGTTTCATTATAAATTCTCACTTCAATAGAAGGTGTTAGCCTTGAGAAACAAAATAAGCACAGTGTAGCAACCAAAATGTAATAAAACATTTTTTGCAGTTGCAGACACCAGTCGCCTGAGGTATGCGTCAGCAGCTTCCCATCGTAGACCTCATGTTACCTCTTCAGGCTCTGCTGAGCCTGCTTCAGTAAGGTGTCGAAGTCTAGTGCGTGATACTTGCCTTTTGTAGGCAAGGGGTCATACTCTCTATTTGAATCTAAAAAGAGGAAAATGGGAAATGAATTAAATAGCAGCAAGACTTAACAGCAGACAGTTAGCCCAATAGTTAAAGATCCAAACCATGTTCTGAGCAAGTATTAAGTTCAACGCAATAAAGTTTTAAGCTACTGTATCTATAGGAGCAATCAAAAAAATAACTTAGCTGAGGGAAAAGGGGTTTCTATTTAGAGCATTAAAGCTCAGATCTACTGCAAACTTGTAATCAATCTAAATATTCTGTTTGTCCAGGGTAAAGGGAAGATTATACTTCTGCAACCGCAAACATCAAATGTCGCGAACCAGATTTGCTGGTATGCTTCTGCACCGTCAGTCTGGAATTTCTAGGGACGCACAGCAATTTCCCGCCAAAGCGCAAGGGGGAGCATATTCGAAAACTCGCGAGAACTTCGACGGATTGTACTTCTGAACCTCTTCAATCAACCTTTTGTCGTAATCGTCCATTGTTTTTGTTCCCGTTTTTAAAAATTGCACGCCCTGGCACCGAATCGAGAAGGATGACCTCAGACAACCGGAAAGGCATAGCAAGGACCAATCACAGCTACTTTTTGTCTGAGCACTTCCGCTCGAGGTCTGCGGCCAACGATGCGTAGTCAGCTGGTATCAGATACAGAACCTCTGCGCGGGGGGGCGGGGTTGCGCACAAAGAAAGATTTGACGGTTGCAGAGGCTATGCGTCAGAAGCATAAATTGGCCTCAAGACTTTAAAGTTCTTTTCTGATGTAGATGTAGCAGTTTACTCGGCGCTAAACCAAAATGCATTTACGGAAAATATTGCAAAAGGAAAAATTGCTAAATTTGAAGCTTGGCGACTGATTAACAGTTCAACTCTAGCAGGTTTCATGCTCTAGGCTCTACTTGCAAAATGTCTGCTTTAATAAGTGAATAGTATGTGCATCGTACACCCCGTTCCGCAAGATATGTGACTGGCATAAAATTTTGTGTTAAAGATTAACAACACTGAATTAGTAATCACTGGTTTTAACCTGAAATTACAGGGAATCTCCAGCAATAATAATTCAAAGTAAAGTATCAATTTATAACTTTTATTTTCTTTCTTATTGTTCTTTAAGCATGTACAAGATACTATTGTTTATATGCTTGAAAGACAGTTAAACTCTGACAGTTAACATTTCCAAGAGCAGCAGGGATTATAACCCAAACTCACCAAACCATGCCTATTGTTCCCTACCAGGAAGGACAATTGTCATTTAACTTTAGGAAGCTCACGCCGCCACGCAAAGCCGGAAATTTTAGTACACCAAAGTTTACACCCTATGAAATATTCCCAGCCAACGGCCTGACCAACAGGCTGGAAAACTAACTTCAGCCCTAGAGTTTGTACTCTGCATATTTCTATACTATGATTTTTGTTTTATTTGACTTGTGCAATGTTTCAATTCTCTGAAAAACTAAGTTTATGATTTAATTAGCTGCAAGTCCTAATTATCCACATTTACAATAAAACACTAAACACCTCCCAAATAACACTTTGCACTGTAGGTTTTTGGCGTTGAGTTTAATTACTGAATTTTTCTTTTTATCATATTTTAATTCACCCACAAGCACCTACTCTCAAAACAAAATGGTTTTCTGGAGAAAAAAAAAGAAAAAAAAAAAAGGCAGAACTACTTTGCAACCATGCTGGGAACAGCAGGAACCTCACAGCATGCTTACCTAAGTCAGCATAGCTGGACTGACAGAACTGTCTCCTTCCACCAAAACAGAGATCAAAGGGAAGCTCGTCAGGTTTGCGCAGCTTGCTGCCATTTTCAATGGCTGTAAACGCATCCTTGGTGTTGTAATAAGTCACAAACCCATAGTTATCCCTGTGAGAAATGACAGCGCGTCAGCAATCTATTTCACGTTTTAACAGCGCTTAGATTAAGTTGAAAGCGTTTATTGAATGTAGCCTGCATTTAAAAAGGCAACCTGGGGATGTTACCAGGAAGCCCCAGTTATGAACAAGCTTACATTCGATCTGGCACTGTAGCTTGGCCAAGAAGGTCACAGAAAAGACCCACCAGGTTCAAAGACAGTGCCGTATATCAAAACATGATCATGGAAGCAAACACTTCTTTGTGCTGGGATGTACTCACCCGTGTTCTCTAAAGTGCAGGGTACATTCCTCAATTTCACCGAATAAAGAAAAGCGCTCCCTGAGCTCTCTTTGGGTCATGCTTCCCCGAATTTTGCCAACATAAACGACCCGCCTCTCTTCCTAGGAAAAAACAAAAAAATTACCCGATCAGATTAGTAATAAAACATATTTGGGAAAAAAAGGAAAGAAAGCCTCCATTACTTGCTGAACTTACAATAGCTTTCTCCTTGCGTCTTTTTGTCTCATCAATATTTGTCTTTGTTCCATGAAGGCCTCTTGGTCTGTATGAGGGGCTGTAAGAAGAGTTAATCAAAAGTTACAGCAATGCTCCATGTAATGGCTGACATGCAGAAAAGCAAGGTGCATGTACCTGTGCAACCCCATGCTTCCACTCCACTGAACTCGTCTTTGAGGAGACAGAGACCGCGACCTAGAACGGCTCCAAGATCCAGAGCGTGAGGAGGAGTAGGAGTATTTCCTCCTCCTGGGAGGGGACCGAGACCAAGAGGGAGACGAGTGGGAAGAGGATTGGGAGGAGGGGCTTCGACTGCTGTCTGAATTCCGACGTCGATACCTACAGCAGAAAAATGCAACGATGGGGATGAGGACACAAAAACACCCCAAAAAATGAATATGTAGCAGCAAAATGAAAGACAAACCTTTTCCTCTGTGGAGATCTGGACCTAGATCGAGATCTAGAGGAATAGCTGTCTGAGCAGCTAGACGCTGGGCTAGGGGAGCGGTAAAATCTTTTTCTTGACCGCCCTCGAGTTCTTTCTTTGGGACTGCAACTGGGACTAGGGGTCGGAGAATCAACATACCGGCGGTAGGACCTTGCTGATGGTCTTCTTCTGGGGCTTGTGACACATTCCTGCTGGGATGGAGAAGCATTAGGAGTCTCTGTACCAGAGCACTCCCCTGCCTCGGTTTCCATGTTTTCATTCACAGAGGCTTGTGGACAATTTTGTGTTATAGATAAAATCTCAGAATTTGTGGTAGACTGGGTTGATGCAGCGGAGACAGGAGGTGGCGTGGGTGTTGGGCCTGAAGGGTTCTGGTTAACCGGTTTAATGGGGAAGGCAGATGGCTGTTTAACATTCCAGCACTTGCTTGGCTCGCCTGGGGAAACGCTTTTGTTGGAGAGGCAATAGTCGTGATCCATGCATGCTAGATCTGGGGAAATTGGGGCAGCAGCAGGGGTGGCTTTACTACGCAACCTAAATAGGGGTAGAGGCTGTGCCTCTATCTGGATCACCTTTGAGGGGCTGGGCTTTGATGCTTCAGAGGTTTTAGATTTTCCCAACTGAGTCAAGGGGGCCAGAGGTTTCCACATCTGGTTGGGGGGTGTAGTCTTTGAAACCAGAGCTGAGGAAAAGAAATTAAAAGGTAAAGGATGAGGACCTTTACATGGAATAGCATAGGAAAAGAACTAAAGTTAATATTTCTTCATCTATAACATTTGAACTGAATTACCGGCATTGCATGGGAGGTCATTAGTGCCTGCACACTTCATTACAGCCTTCTCTGGAACCACTGCAGCTCTGCAAAGCAGACCGAGCGCCTCAGTTAGCATCGTACAAAGTGATGTGACTGATAAACAGGAGGACTGATAAACATGGCAGATTTTGCGGTAGGTCTTGGCAAAAGGTGAATTTGGGTCACCTCCACACACTAAAAGTCAGTCAGTAATCTGGAGCAGCGTCAAAGGCTGTAGGGTAACTCACCTCGAGTTTCCTACAGCTGCTGCTCTACCAGAGACCTCCGGCACACATTTTTCTTTTGCTAAAGGAATAGGGAAATAAATGTCTTAGCACCGGGAACCAACAGAAGACACACAAAAATTATTTTTAATATGAGAGCCATATTATGCATTCAAAACAATCCATTGGTTTAGATACACTATTCTTACAGCCTAGGATCATTTTATCAATATTTAAAAGAGGCTGACAAACATGTTTTGGTGGAAATCAAAGCATAGTAAGGATTTTAAAAGTTACGAGTGAAAGAAACCGAAATGTGTTATCTACGTTGTTAAAAATGAGCATATATGATGCCACCTATCCATGATGTTAAAACTACCATTTGTAAGCTCTGCCTGGACAGCCTCTAATCGGCCACCCCCTCTGAATGTCCATACAAACACAGCTGGAGGGGGGTGGGGGGGTTGCTAAATGAATCTGCAGACAAGGCAGAATTGCAGCAGTACAGAATACAGGAGCCCCCTGCAGAACCCAGCCCACCTCTCAATTATAGAAATCCTTCTGTAAAGCCATGAAAAATGGACCCTTCAGCTACTTTTAGCTCAGTGCTACGGTTTACCAATGAGAACCACTGTGATACCGAACAGCTGACTTGATGTTTAGGAAGCACTTTAAGATCTGAAATAAACAGCAGGCAGCAGTAAATCAGTGATTACCTTGTGTCTCCTCAAACCGCTCTAGTAAACTGGTCATGTCAGCAGCCTCAATACCTTTAAAAACAAAAGAAACGCATAAGCACAGTGTACTCTGATGGGGAGCTCTAACACATGCATGGTTTGCAATTATACCCGTGATCTAAAGTCCAATAAAGCCTAGAGATGCACAACAGACTAGCTGTAGAATAAAACTGGCTGAATTTTAGCAAGATATTAGCAAACTCCCTTTATGGACAGTTATGAGGGATTTCTGGATTGGGAAATATTGGCCATCTTTTGGCTCCCCCCCAAAGGAAGACACGATGACTTTTGATTTTGTGTTTACTGCATTAGGAGCTAATCAATGACTGGCTACTAAATGCTGAGCGGTGCATCTGTAATAAATATGGCTGAGCATTGATTGAAAGGTCAAGAACTGATTTGGATTCTCAAGATTTAGAATAAATTATTTCCAATCCATTTAATCTGAAACTGGATTGCTGGTATTAAAAACTTGCTTGCCGTTATCTCAATTTTATTTATTGATAATATTGTAGCTATTATATTAAATGCAATGCAAAATAAAGATTAAATGGCAAACTAAAATAGTTGAAGGCGGTTTAAAACGCTTATGGATCTTAGGTTTCATGAATCATGCTTTGGGAAATGAGAATCGATTTAGAATTAGAGAATTGATGTTTTTAAACACAGCCCATGTAGTAAAGTACTCTGTGCAGCATCCAAACTCACCCATTTCACTGGTAAACATTTGAATCAGCGCCTGAGTGTCACCGTTTGCTTTCTGGGCTGCAGCAGGTCTCTCTTTAGAAGCCGCCACAGCAGGATGGTTTATGCGATTATGGGAACCCAAAGAGGGTGCAGCACATGGGGGGGTGCTTTGCTCTTTGGGTTTGGGGATCTTTCTATCCGATGTGGGTGGACCACTTGAGGTAGAAACAGCGACCCCAGGAATCTTCTGGGAAACGGCAGAGACACTGGGGACTGACCCAGCAGCAGCACCGGGGTTTTCTATATTTGTAGTGGTTTTGGGGCAGACTCTAGTGTCCTGTACAGACTTTGGATTCACAGACTCAGCTTGTCTTCCTGAACTAGGAGAGGAACACATCCTGTCTGCTTGGATTGAAGGCTTTGAAGGTGCAGGAGGAGCTAAGCTCCGAGGCACACGGGGATCAGTGGGCTTGGCAGAGGTTTGAGGGGGTGCGGCTGAAGCATTGGCTGAATCAGGGGGAGCAGTTGGGGACATTTGGGGTGGTTTGGAGGGATCCTGGGTTTGCTGGGGTTTAGGAGCAGCAGCTGAAGATTTGCTGGATGAAGAAATCATGTAGGCTGGTGGCTGCAACAGAGCCTGGGGGGTGGGGGGTGCACAGGGTCCCCTTGGCTGCCAGGCAGGTTTCACCTCCACCTCCTCATCTTTCTTTGCTGCCTGGGGGGCGACACGTTTCGGGTCCCTGGGGTTGGGGTCAGGCAGGTGGGGTATAGGGGGGAGCTCCTTGGGGGCCTCTGGAAGGCTTGGCCACTTGGTGATGCTCTCATATGGTTTTTCCACTGGAGCGGGCTTTTTCTGCTGCCGCAGTCTTCTGTACTCCTCAAGACTGAGCGACTTGGGTTTGGGTTCTGGGACTGGAGGGGTAATGCTGATAGGAGGGGGGAGCTCAGCAGCAGCAGGTTTAGGGCTTTCTGAGGATGTTGGAGGGAGGGAAGCAGAGGGAGGTGTAGAGGAGCCTCCAGTTTTTTCTCCTGCGGCTGAAGCCGGAGGAGGTGTTTGTGCTTCACTGAGCTGCTGGGAGCTCTCAGCTGTGGCTGGGCAAGTGAGCAGCGTCTCATTGGCTGCAGGGGTGGTGATCCGTCTGATCAACAGCGGTGGGACAACTTTTTCTGTCTTTTCAGGAAGCGGGGCTGCTGTGGAGTTTTCCTTCTTTTTTTTAGATTCTTTTACATCTTCAGGTTTCGGAGGTGGCCTTGGTGGAGCAGGAGCCTTTGGACCTTTCTGTACCTTTTCTTCCACAACCTTTTTCTCAGGATTTTTGGGGGGGATGGCCGCCACCCTTCTTACCCTGCCACTCCTGAGGACCCTTCCTTCTACAGGCGCCGGCGGCTGCTGGTTCTCTTTGGATTTCTTTTTCCTCCTCGAAGGGCT